TACACTGGACTTACGTCGAAGGCTACCAAGTTGAATCATCTGTAAATGAATATGTGGTCGCATCCAAGCCAAAACTGCTTAGACAGAACACTAACCACATCACTGCATTGTGTGCTGCGGACAATGGAAGAGAGAGTGTCTTAACCTTTGGGCCACTAAACTGGAGAGAATCTTTGACTTGGTCTCACAGATATTAATGTATTAATGTCAGCCTTGCCACTGACTTCAAAGGAATTAGGAAGAGGTTCTCACTGGAGGAAGATGGGATTAGTACTGTCCACAAATGTCATTGGTTTTACAGGACAGCCTCGCCATTCGTAGGGGATACGTGCCAGAGATGCCCGTGAATGGCAAAATCCGCGAATACGGCAGGAGTGTGGTGGCTGCGGCAGGAGCGTGGCAGTGGGAGCCCGGCTGTGGCAAGCACGGAGCTCCCGCAGATGCTGCCAGCAGCGGGTGAGGAGCATAGCGAGAGTGTGCAGGGAGGGAGTGTGTGGGGAGAGAGCATGCGTTTGTATATTCACTGTGAATATTTGAAACTGTGAATTGCGAGTCCACAAATGGTGAGGGTTTCCTGTACAGGAATTTACGGTGCAAATATTCAAACCAATGCTCTCTCCCTGCACACCTTCTCTCCCCACACGCTCTCTCCCTACACCATCTTGCCATGCTCCCACCCCACATCCTCTGCCGCCGACAGTGCTGACAGTGTCTGTGGGAGCTCCACACTTGCCACCACCGTACTCCTGACATTCATGGATTTCACTATTCACAGGGATTTCTGGAACGTATCCCCCGTAAATGGTGAGGGTCTCCTATATTCTGTAAATCAGTAGTGGGGATCTCTGGCTGGTAGTTGCTGAAAGCTGTTGCCCTCTGTGAATTGGCCTAAATTAGATAAACTGAGGGTGTCAGTCATTTCCCCTATGGACTATTGTTCATATCACAGAAATGAGCAATTATTCTCAGGCCCTATGGAGAAGCCAGGAGTTAGTGGGGATGGAAACCTTCACCTCTTAGAGGGCATTCATATTGATAACACATTGCCTGGCACTGCCTGAGTAAAATGTTACTATTCTGATCTTGCAGTAGTTCAGATCCTGTGCCTGTTCTGTGGATAGAGAAATGATGCTGGTCTCCTGAGCCATTAATCTAGTATTTTTTGAGAGCAAAAAAACCCAGCAAGTCTTAGTCACTGCTGTTGCTGCGCCTCTGTCAGTGAATTGGCTACCAGTAGTTTCCAAATAAAGACCATATCATAATAGCTTGAATGTGACTTTGCTGTTAGTGTTGCTAGTTGTATGAAACATGCTTCTCTTTGGTTTTCAAAGCAAATCAAACTCACAAGCCATCTTCATGTCACTTTATTTCCTTTTCTTTGTGTTCAGTTTTGCTAACTCCTGCTATCAGTGCAGTCTGTGACATTACAGCAAGAAGAGTGCTGTACACAATGTACACAACCAACACAGTAGAGTCAATGCTCTGTGGGGACCTGTGGAGAGAAGCACAAAACATTTTTTCAAGCTTTTAATATCTTTAAAAAAAATTACAGATCTTTCCCTTAAATACATTTTGTCTTGCTTAGCCCCTGTCCTGGCAGTCTGCAGCTTGGCTAGATAAGTCTTTCATCTACATAATATGCTTTTGGCCTGAAGCAAAACTTAGCTCCACAGTAATATCAAGAGAACCACACAAAAACAAACATACACTTCTGATGTCATTGCTCCAAGGCTTTAATTTGTGCGTGAAATATTCAAAGTCCTGTTGAAAGTTGGGGTAACTTCTTCAAGCGGTGGCTTTTATTTTTCTGTTAGAAAGAGACAATTACAAGGATTATTCAGTTATGGCACAAAGGTTTTGATTCTCCTCCCATTTCCAGCTGTATGAATCAGGACTAACTCCACTGACTTCAAAGGAATTAAATTACTGTGGAAGAGAATCTGCAGGAAAATTGTTTATACACAGCCACAACAGCATTTTGATTCTGATTAGGACCACTAAACATTAGCAATCTGTTATTGTCACAGACTGACTTTCTAGAATCATTGAGGAGTCTGAAAACAAACAAAACTGAATTTCTGTCATGGATGGTATTTTAAAAGGATGTTGGGTAACATTGATACTGGCCCTTTTTCTTGCTTATTTTATTGCATTCTGAAAATCTACTTCTTTCTGCTTTTCTCAGATACTCATAAAGCACTGATCTTTACGGGTGAGTTTAACTTTGCATTTCCTATCTTGTTTCCATCCTGTCAAATATACTTTCAAACAACTAGAGCCACTTGTCTTTCATGATCAAAGTGATACAGACTTGTGTTTTCAAGATTTCTTGGCAGCTTGTCAAAAATCAGCCATTTCTTGAGTGAAATATATAATACAAATCACTGTACTGCTTTTGTCCAAAGAAAGGGTAACTGGGCAGACTGTAGAAAGCTCTTGACGAAAATGTTATAAAGATTATAGTGACAAATCTAAATCCAAGGTTGAGAGAGACCTTTTAGCACTGCCACTAGGAAACGCAACATAGATGCATGGAGCTTAAGGATCATCCACTTTGACCTGCTGCATGACTTAGGTCATAGAATGTAGGAATTACTACTTGAAAGTGAAGGAAATGATTTCCCTCTTTATAAATGTTCATTATTAGTGATCATTACCTCGTAACTTATTTAAATCCAATGAAAATCAAATAAAATGCAGAGTAAATTTACCATCCATTTCCCTGATTTCATATGCTTTGGGGTCAGCGACCTGCAAACTCCTTTATGATCCCTGTGTTGTGAGAAGAACTCTGGGTTTAAGTCATGATGCCCTCTGAGTCTCAAGAAAATCTACAGGTCAATAACCTTTTATTTCTGACCTTTTAACTGGCTCTAGTGGGCCATGAAGACCTAAATGCCAGTTTTTTCAGATTCCTGGGAAGCTTCAAGCCTCTTGAATCTAATTCTCTCTGAGAGTTTTGCTCTCATATATTCAGGTCACTGATATTGCAACAGCAACTTTCAGTCATGTGTGAGGCAGAAAGCTTTGGGGCGTCGAGTGTTATGTAGCTTGTACTACATGTCAGATTGACTGCAGTCAAGGAATTGAATAACAACCTTTAGCGCAAGAATAGCCTGCAACTACTTCTCACCTCCCTGTTGTCCAGGCAAAAGAATTGTGATGCATACGCTTCTCAATTATATTCCCTGAGCAAGGCCAGAGAGTCCACCTTTTGTAAAGTCACTTCTCCCCATCTCTGGTTTTGTATTCTATGGTGAAACTGAACACATTGGCTTCTCTCTGTGGGGTTTGTTTGGTTGGTTTTTTGCCTCCACCCCCACAACAACATTTCCCAGTGGTCTGTCTTGATGATATTTAAGTAATTTGCTCATCCTCATTTTTTTAAATTTACTTTCATCCTGCAGGATACTAAAGTACTTTACAGCATATTTGTAGGTCCCCATTTTAGAGAACTATTGATCCTCTCCATCATGGTGTATGGATAAGAGGTCTGGTCACCAAGACCTTTGACACATATGTCTAGGCAAGATCATAGAGGAGTGGAAGCTCCCCAAAACCTACCACCCCCTCTTTAGATCATTGAGACAGAATCCAAAGGCCAGACCAAGTGCAGACGTTCAGTGCCTTGATGGTTGTACCTTCTGCAAAGGGCAACAAATAAGAACTGCTGCTGACTGCCTACTGCCTCATGGACAATGTGTTTCTGTCAGGGTGATAGTATCCCATAGACTTTCTCCAGCCAAGTAGTACCCACATGGCAGTGGGGATTAGGGTTTTGAGGCACCCTATACTCACCTTACTCTGGAGGTTGCAACATTGTGGTAATTTATAGGAGTAGCCCCACCACATTGCCACTAGGCCCTCCAGTCAGATGCAGTTTATAGCCATACCCTGGAAGCTTATCTTGAAGCTGATTTCAAAATAAGCAAGATAAAATATTAATTATGTTCCATACCACTTACACACAGCTATCTCTAGTAAGAAAAGAAGTTCTAACAAACCACCATAAGGGCAAGAAGTGTTTGGAGCAAGGTGCTACAAGGTGATGTGCTATGGTGGCATATGTCTGGATAGCAGCACCGCAGGCCCCTAACAGATGTTACATTTATGGCACAATTTACATGTTAATTGTGCCATACATTGTAACATGCCACATGTGCAAGAAATTTATGGCATGATAAAAGTGGCAAAGCAGCCACAAAGATGCTCCACATTAGTGGTCATCACCTTATAACTCATGTAAATTAAGTGAAAATCAAATAAAATGCAGAGTAAATTTACCAGTCATTTTCCTGGTTTCATATGCTTCAGGGTCAGTGACTTGCATATGTGACATCTTTGTTACTGGTTTGTATAGCAAATTCATTTGAATGATGATGAGGTGCAGCCCTGTGCTTGGCTTGATGGAAACTGATGAACTTCCCCACACCCCAAGCCCTAAGGTGCAGTTTTGCCCAGGGCTGCAGCTCTCAGCTTCACAGGTGCCAGCCAGGGGGACCAATGGGCTCCCTTGGCACAATCCTTGTCAACCTGCATGCTAGGCAGCCCATGCAGGGCTGTCTGGTGCTTGGGTTTAAACTTGCTGGTGCATGTGGAACTTGGGATCAGGATCCCAGGCTCCATGTGTGATGGCAAGTTGAAAGAGTGCTGTAAGAAGGTGATGCCCGGCTCCTTGCACTGACAGTCATGTGACTGGGATCTTTTCCTGTTCCCAAAAACCATGCATCTTGCCAGGCACATGTGGCATGGCAGGATGCACAATTGCTGGGATCAGATCTCATTGTGCCATTAAATTAGCATTTGCCAGCACTGTCAGAGTAATAGGAATTGTGTGGGAAGTTTCTAGTGATCTGTCCACCTTAACAGTCCAATATCCTTCTCCCAGCTCAATTGTTAAGAGTCTAATGTAGGATGCTCTTTGCCAGTAGGCTTCACAGCTCTTTCTGACAGCAGGAAATCCTGGAATCCTTTTTCTCTTCTAGTTATGAGGGATGGTCTCCTTCTCTCCCTGTCCCTCCATGTTGTCTTCATTCTGGTTCCTGGTGTCCCCACATCATGCAAAGAAAAAACAAAGAAAATGAAGAAAAGTAGCTCAATAGCTCAACCATAGTATAAATTTATGTGGTTTAGCATATGATTTCTTCTTATGGCAAACAATAAACCTAATTTGCTGAGTTTGATTAAACATGCTGGACATGGGGATGGGAAACAAAGAATTTTGGAATGAAGGAGCTATTTAAAGTAACATACTTTTTATTTCATTGGAGCATAATAAGACCTTGTATGCCAAACTTAAATCACTATTTTTGTATTACATCTTATCTGCTTTGACGGTGTAGTTTTCCTAAGAGGTTAGATAATAGATTTATATAAGATGGTTTGGATAGCAATGATCCTGCCTCAGGCAGGGGTTTACACTAGATGACCTATGGAGGTCTCTTCCAGCACTGCATCTCTATGACTCTATACTTGAAGGTTGTAATAAGATTTTACAAAAAACAATATTATCCCTTTCTTCTCCTCAATAGTACTTTGGTTTTCATATTTTTTGCTCACCAAAAATAAGCTCTGCTGTATCCAACTGTAGGAAAACAGATTGTAGGTCAAAACTGCTTGCTAATCTTGCTGCAATGATTTGGATCAATATCTCTTTTATTTTCAGCTTACTTTATAATTGCATCTAGCTACATTTTATTGATGATTCTGCATCTAGTACGTGATCTGTAATTCTCAAATGCAAATTTTTCTTTAATAATATTTTTGCTAATACACTAGATAAATTTAGCTGGCAAGATAAAGCAAAAGTGTCAACATTGTGTTACTTGTTTTCCCACCCTGATAAGGCACATTCATTATGCAGCAGCTCTCTCCACAGCTTAGAAATGGAATACTCAGGTTTTGCTAAATGTGACACACTGGGTCTCATGCGTGTTCTGGTATGAGGGATCTTGCACATGTTAAGTAATATCTAACTGAGGGTGTGAGTAGAGAGCCTGTGGGAAAGTAAGAAAAAGATAATAGCTTGTTGATTTATGGAGCAGGATGTCCAGCTTCTTATCTCTGGTGCCTAACATAGTTCTTATTACGTAATAATGAATTAACAAGTGAAACTCATCTGATCTTTTTCCCTCAGGTTTTGAGATGTAAAAATTGGGCAAACTGATTTTTACAGACGTCCTTAATTATCCTAAAAGTTTTCCTTAATTTTGCCTCAATTCTTTTTCTCTGAGACTAAACATTCAAGATTTCAATCAAATTCATTATTGAGGAAACACATTTTCCCATATTTGTGTACCTAAAAGTACTACTGCCTCTTCAGGCATAGCAGTAACCTTATCTAGTAGCATGAGTTTAAATTGCCAAAAGTATTGAGAGACAGACTCTTTCTTTGCAAAAATCAACATATTACATACTATAACATTTCATTCTCCCTCTTGTAAAATTTAATATGTTACTAGAATTATATTTTGTTCAATGGGAAAAGTCTTGCTTTGTCACTGGTCAAGGAATGCAGGAAGCACAATGGTTAATCATTTAGTCAGTGATTCTTCTGCAAATACCTCTGATCTGTAACAATTTCCCATTATGTCATTCTTACAAGGATAGATGTGGTTGAGTGATAAGCCTTAAGGGAGGCAGCTAGAGCTGCAAAATAAACAATACAGAACCTAGAGGTCTTTTCTTTTCCTGATAGACAAGGCACAGACATTGTATTTTTCCTGGAACAGAAATGTCCCAGGATTGGTGTTATACACCTTACCCTTCCACTCAGGGTTTTGTGAACATCTGAATGCACTACTGCATTTTTGCTGTTGATTCAATGATGCAATCTGGGGACAGCCATTCAGATGCACTCAGTGATATCCCAGGACAAACTTAGCACTTCTTATCCGGAGACCTTTTTAGGGTTTGTCCTGGGACAAGAGACATAGACATCTGAATGATTTCATTTTGTCCCAGGATAAAATGGTTTCCCCCAGGACATATGCACCACTTGTTTTAGTCTCTCTGATTTATAATCATGAATCTTATCCATGGGGGCTAGGGGTTAAGGCACCCCAACCTGCCTTTCACCGGGGTGGTAACTAGCCTGGCATTTCCTGGGGGCTCCCAAGTCACTGGGAGCCCCACCAGACCACCCACTCCTGGCAGGGTGCAGTTTTAGGTCATGCCCAGGACCAGGAGCCTCCTGACCATCCCCTCCAGCTCCTCTCTTACCTCCAGATGATCTCAGCAGCCCTCCAGCCAGGTGATGTTGTTGCCTGGCCTCCAGCAGCCCAACTGCCCTGTTTATATAGACAGCCCTTGACTCCAAAATGGCTGCCCTCAGCCACCTGTGGGCGGCCAGCTCCAGGCCCTTAAAGTGGCAGGCACACACAGTGCCCTGCCACAGTGATTTATGTGTTTTAAGTGCATTCTGCTGCACAGTGAAACAAGTTTTCATTGAAAGATTGCTCCGCTACTATATTTGGTTTCAATTTCCCACTGAATAGGGTCAAATGGAATAATAGTTTCATAGTTTCATAGTTGGTAGGGTCAGAAGGGACCTGAGCAGATCATCAAGTCCGACCCCCTGCCATGGCAGGAGAAAGTACTGGGGTCAAACGACCCCGGCAAGGTGTTTGTCTAACCTCCTCTTAAAGACCCCCAGGGTAGAAGCCAACCCCACTTTGCTTGGAAGTTGGTTCCAGATCCTAGCCGCCCTGACTGTGAAGTAGCGCCTCCTGATGTCTAGCCTGAATCTACCCCTGCCCAGCTTGTGACCGTTATTTCTTGTCACTCCTGGGAGTGCTTGGGGGAACAGGGACTCCCCCAATGCCTTCTGGTCCCCTCTGATTACTTTGTAACAGGCCACTAGATCCCCCCGTCAGCCTTCTCTTGTGGAGGCTGAACAGGTTCAGGGCCCTTAGCCTCTCCTTGTAGGGCCTGCTCTGCTGACCCCTGATCATGCGGGTGGCCCTCCTCTGAATCTTCTCCATGTTGTTCACATCCCTCCTGAAGTGTGGCACCTGGAACTGGATGCAGTACTCCAAGTGCGGCCTGACCAGTGTCACATAGAGGGAGAGGATCACCTCCTTGGATCTGCTCGAGATGCATCTGTGGATGCATGACAAGGTACGGTTGGCCTTTCTGACCACGTCCCCACGCTGCCGGCCCATGTTCATTTTGGCATCAATAATGATTCCAAGATCCTTTTCTGCCTCTGCACTGACGAGAAGGGAGTTCCCCAGCCTGTAGGTATGC